AGGATCTGGGCAGTCTGGGGCCCTTGCTGACACTCACAGCTCTGCAGTTACACTCCTGCCTATTTCTAAACCTGCAGAGCCCAGAGCCCTCTCCATGGCTGGAGCTCGTCCCAAGGAGGGAGGGGAACAGGGATTCTGGGTGCGAGTGAGAAACAATGCAGACAGGAGGATACATGGCCCCCTCGCCTTGAAATCTAGAGGGGCCGGGTGGGGATGATTTAGCACGTCCATTAGGGTTTGACACCCTGGTCTCACTGCACAGGGCATGGAGATGCAAGTGGCTCTCGCCCGGCAGCTGTGCCCATGGAACCCATTCCTGTCCAGGCCACCTGAGCAGGGAAGAACCTGACCCGTGTCGGACATGCAGACCCCACGGCTCCTAATCCCCGAGGGGCCAGGACGCCCTTACCCAGCGAGGTCACCGCCTCGTAGTTCTCCTGCATGACGTCCCTGTAGAGGGCTCTCTGAGCGGGGCCCAGCAGCGCCCCCTGCCCCGGGGTGAAATACACAGCCACCTCCTCGAAGGTCACCCGCATCTGCAACAACAAGAGTCCCTCACCCACTGCCTGTGGCCTCAGACACAATCCCTGTAAAACCCCACCCCCATCCTGTTTAGAGCAGCCAGGAGGCTTCAGAGGATGGGCAGAGAGATCCTCTTCCCCTCAACAGATGATAAGGGCAGGGCCTCCTCACTAAGGATGTCATGTATTGGTAATTGACTAAACCAATAGTCGAGAGGACACCCTAAGGCTGTTGCTATACTTCAAAGGCGAAAGTATTGATGCCTAGGGTCAGCTGGGGATTCCCCCGCTGACCCCGCTCTCTGTATGGCACTGCCACTTTGAAATATCTCAAGGAGCCGACGCAGGGCCTCACAGCTGATTCTGGGCTCTGTGGCATTTCAAAGTGGCTGAGCCTGGGTACTGAGAGGCACTGCTGCTTTGAAGTGTCCCCTTTATCCCCCCCTTTTGCATCCTTTATTTGATAGAGGAAGCAAGGGGTGGGGAGTGACTAATCAAGTATCCTGTTGACTATCCAACATCCCTACTTCTCCCTGACCACACATCTACTAGACCAGGGGTGGCTAACCAGTTAGAGACGAAGAGCCAAAATAGCTGTGGATAGAGTAAGAAGAGCCACGTATTATATATTTATTTGGATAGATAGAGCCACGTATTATATATTTATTTGGATAGGTAGATAGATAGATAGATAGATAGATAGATAGATAGATAGATAGATAGATAGATAGATAGATAGATTACACAAAATAAAATAGATGCCTGGTATCTATCAAAATAGATAGAGTGATAAAAATAACATTACAGGACATTTCAAACAAAAACCAATAAAAAAATTCTCTAGTCAGTAAGAAATTCACCTCCAGTCCACAGATCTTCAGAGAACTTGACAAGGAACAAACATCAAATTAAAAAATACACCCTTTAAAAATACAGTAATGTTTTCACACTTAAAAAAAAAAAAGCATCTTCACCATGTATTTTAAATTTAACACAACTGCCCTATTATGTCCTGTGAGTTTAAATTAAACTGAACTGAGAAGTAAATTAGCACAGTTCTTCCTTTGAAATGTACAAGAGTCCCCAGCTGAGCCCAGGCTCCACTCAACGCTGCCACTTTGAAATGCCGAGGCTCTGGTATGGTTTCCTCCTTTTTTTTCCCGCTTTGCTGCCTCTATCTGATAGAGACAGCAAGGGAGAGGGGGGGATCAATTAGTTGACTGACTATTCGATAAGCAAATGCTTTTGCTTATCAGATAGTCGACTAGTCCTTAAATCCTTACTCTAGTTCAGCTATAACCTTAATACTAGTGTCAGGCCATAGAGATTCTCAATTTGCTCAGTTGCTAGAAGCCAGTGTATTGGGAACAGAAAGTCCTGTATAGTCTAATAGCTCTCCACCTCTCCTCAGCCTCCCAGGCCCCTGCACTGAGATCTCCGTCCTGAATCCTACACTCCCAACCCCTGCCCTGAGTCCGCTCCGTTCCCTGAGCCCCCACCACTGAACCCTGTGACTTCAGCCCTCCAGTCTCTGTCCTTATTCCAGTACCCTCCATCCCCTGCCCTGAGCCCCTTTAACCCTCAAAGCCCCAAGCCCTCGCTCCTGCACCCCTAGTTTTTTCTAGCAAAAGACAGATAAACTGCAAATCTTTTATTAATACAAAGTTCTTTTTTCCTTCATTTTTTAAAAATACATTTATTTAACTAAAGCATGTACATTTTCCTTTTATTTTCCACACAGGCCCCCAGCTCATTACTTCATGTAAAGACCTGAGCAATGCTGGTACATCTGCTAGTGTCCCATATTTGGAATTTAGCTATTGTCTATTATGTCTTTTGGCAATCATAGATTTCTTTCAGCCTCTAGCCAGCAGTTGTACCACACTTTTCTAATGAATTGTAATTAATCCCTTTGCAGGATGTCATCATCAGTAGTGTGACACAATAGTCATGTCTAGATATCTGGTAGCTTGCTCATAAGCTTGGAGACAAGTAGTGAAGGCACTCCAGGCATTAGAATCTACAGATCTGAGACCTTAATGAATCCCCAATAAATACGCATTTCTATTAAGTAAAGGATGATTATTTGCTATAGTCAGTAGAAAGTAAGTTTGCAAACAGTGTAGGTGCAAGACTCAAGCAGTTACAATAATATATGGATTGTTCCCCCTGCGACCCATTCAACAGAATGGCACTAGGGTACCTCTCTCCCTCCCCAGGGAAAGTATCTGGAGGTGACCCTTCGATTTCATCTAACTCTCAGAAAATTGGTCCATAAGTTACGCTGGCTAGCCGCTAGAACAAAACCCACCAAGCCTCTTTGAACCCCCTCCCCTCCCCTGCAGCAGCATCTCTGAGCCCCACGCTGGGGAAAGAGCAGAATCAAAGGAGCCATTTTGTTACCCCCCAGTGTCGAGTCACCCCCGCGCGTGCCCCCTCCCCCTTCTAAATCTTTCTCCGAGCACTGCCCGTGTCTCAGTTCCTGCAGGGGTTACTCGTGTATCAAGGGGCTGGGATCCGGGTGTGAGATTTTTGTGGGCACCCTCGAGAAGGAGGGTGGATCCACAGAGCGCTGCACCCCGAATAGCGGTGCCCCGAGTCCGTCCTCTGCAAGGAACCCGCCCAAGGGGGTCTGGCACAAAGGTAGAGAGGCAGCCTCAGGCCAGGTGACCTTTTTGTCCGGGAAGAAGACCAAGTTGGAAGGGAGGCAGCTGGGCATGACTGAGGCTGGGGGTGGGTCAGGCTCCTGTTTTAGAACTCAGCAGGGGGCACCCAGGGCTGGGGAGGCACCAGGCAGGACGGGATTTCGGAGCCAACAAGATCTGTTCTGTGCCGTATCCCACAGCCACTCTCCCCCCTTCTGTTTTCCCAGCGGGCCCAGAGTCACCCCGGGGCCGCCGAGGGAGAAGCCTGGCCTAAGAGGGGTGTGTGAGGCTTCCCCGGGAGTCTCGACCACATTGACTCCCTGCTGTGGGGAGAAGGAGCCCCAAGGGGACACCCCCCACACTCACGTTTTGCCTGGCTCCATAGCGGGCTCAGGGCACTGCGCCTGGGACTCTGTGGCCCAGGGCTGTCGGACCCCCCTCACACACTCAGCCAGGGGCCCAATCCTGCAGGTAGCCCCGCCTCCTCCTTTGTTCAGCTTCCTGGGCAAAAGGTGTCACCTGGTTGCCCCCTTTCCCTCCAACTCAGGTTACAACAGAGTCTGTAACAAAGCAATAGCCGCGTCTGTTTGTTTTACCAAGATCGGACTAACACAGCAAACCCCAGGCCTGTAGCACTTTAAAGACTAACAAGATGGTTTATTAGGCGATGAGCTTTCATGGGGGGCAGACCCACTTCTTCAGCTCACGTACACAGAGTCTGTGACACTCCTCAGTAGGAGTCACACCCATCCCCAGCCGGGCCCGGGTGCAGTGCCCGGGGACGCTTCAGGGCGGAGGGTTTGAGAGCAGCGCAGGATGGTAGAAATCACATGCAACAGAACAAAGCAAACAGAGCCAGGGCAAACCCCAGGAGGTCACAGCAGGAGACCTGCCTCCAAGGACACATCCCAGGTAGGTTGGAAACACAGAACATGTCTAGTAACACCTCCCCATTCTGGGTGCAGCGCTCCCCATCTCGGTCCCTTTCCTTTTCGGTTCTGGTCCCTTCAGGCATCTGAAAAGACTTGTACCTGCTGTAATGGAGGGGGGGGGAGAGAAACTGTCCCCCCTCCTCCG